ACAGTAAGTTAACTGTGCTTGAGCCTGCAATCTAATCAAAAACCAGTACCTGGGCAGTGGTCGACTTCAAAAAGACATAAGACCTCGATGAGCTCTAAACTTGAGCCAGCTATGTGGCCATGTAATGCTGGTCAGTAGATACCTCTGTTTGAAAGGTGTCAATTGACCATAATGTGGATGTCCAATATCAAAGATGTACCAAGATAAACCAAGTCTGCATGTCTTGTTAACTATGGCTGCCATTTGCATGACATCATCGTGGTTGTCATGCACATGCACCGATGAGCAATACCACTAGCCATGATGATCATGAGAAAAGCTATTCATGGGGTCCTACAAGTATGGTGTTCCACCTGGTGGCCCTTTGGGCTGCCGGAGCTCAGCAAAAAGTGGCTTCACTAGGATGGTCACACATGAATTGATATTCCTTCTGTATTAATGTGCCGTAGGTGTGTTGTAACAAGGGTGAATATCCCTGTCCAATTAACCCAGTTTAGTCCATTTCATAGTTTTCTTAAACAATTCAGTCAGTTCATGGTTCAGCACATGTGCAAGCCACAGCGTAGCCATAAATTACCTCTCTTGCTTTCTTACTGAATCGCATACAGGTACATTGTAGAATGAATATAATGCCAGAATTTAAAGGAAGATGTAAACAGATTAGCAGAGGATGGATTACTTCAAATTTATTATTTAGCCTGAGTAACATACAAATGAAATTGTAACAAAAGAACACCTATTGTGCTAGAGTAATGTGCTTGAATAAACTGGGCTAATACAAAGGGAAGTACATGAATCAAGCTGTGAAACCATCCCTTTAAATGCTGTATAAAGTTCCTCTTCATAATCAGCTTTTCATTTGTTGAGCGTCAAAATAGGAAATTGATTTTTAAACATTATTTATTTATTTATTTATTTAGGAGCTTGGAGAAAAGATGCAGCAGATCGGAAAGGAGTTTGGAGTGACAACAGGCAGAAAGCGACGGTGTGGCTGGCTTGATCTTGTGATGATCAAGTACTCTCACATGATTAATAATTTTACAAGGTAAATAGATTTACCTTGTAAAATAGTAGATTTTTAACAGCTGCAAACCTAGTCTCTGTCTTGTGGCACTCCCGTTTCCAGCTTGAAAAAAGATCTTGTAAGGTGGTTAAGTGAGATGCAGCTGAACTGTATTGTTCACTTGATAATAATGATGAGTGATCACTATTATTGGGTAATGTTGACACTGAAAATTTAATGTATAATTTTGATTTTTTGGCAGTCTTGTGATTGCCAAGCTTGATATTTTGGACACATTTGAAGAAGTGAAAATTGGAGTCGCATACAGGCATAAAGGAACAGTTTTGGAATCATTTCCTGGTAAGAATATTAACTTCCAGTCATTAATGAGATTCAAGATCAACAGAATGAGACATGTATGTGTGACTAAGGGGTTTTATTAACCTTTTCAGCAGAAGGGCAACTGGTTTTCACAGTTAGGCAAAACTATTTGAACTGAACTTCTTTCTAAGAAAAACTTTGCTTTAGATGGTTAAACCAGCCAGGTAAAATTATCTTCACAGCTGGTCAATTTGCCAAGTGCCAATTAATTAATGAAATCCCTTTTGACTGAGCACGGAAATGAAAGAGCAAGTTTATGATTTCATATTGTTCTTGATTGCAGCTTCTGTGGAAATTTTGGATGAAGTTGAAGTTGATTACATCACCCTCCCTGGCTGGATGACCAGTATTGAGCATTGTAAAACGTTCCATGAACTGCCAGCCAATGCTCAGGCTTACATTAGAAAGATTGAAGAAATAACACAAATACCAGGTGAAGTTACCACTGCTGATTAGATGTACAAGTTGATACTGTGTACGGAGTGTAGCATGCCTGAACGCATTGAACATGTAGCATAGATAATACATGCCAGCTCACATCACAAGTAAACCAGTGAGATTAGGTTGAACAGCATTGAAACATCAAATTTTAAATTTTCTCACGAAGGTACGATGTACGGTCAACTCTCATTATAGTGGACACCCTCGGAACTGCATTTGGTGTCTGTAATAGCAAGAGTGTGCAATACCGGGGTGTGATGAAAATGACCAAATTTTTGTCTGTAAAGTGTGTACGGCTTTATACTCTTAAGATTTTTAGTTTCTTTTAATTGTAGTACACATTTACTTCGATTCATAATTATATAATATAGGTCAAAATAGTGTACAATCTAGTAGACATTCAAAGGCTGCAAAATAATGATGTCATTCAATACATGTAAGTTGTCCTTTGTGACGAAGGAAGAACAATTTAAATGTTTATTTGGGACCACCTGAAGCATCTGCAATTCTGTCATAGCGAGAGTCTGAAATAGCAGGAGTTGTTTTCATACATTTCTTTGTAGTTTGTGGCTGGGGATGTAGCTCCTGCTTGTAATAGTGGGTGTCTGTAATAGTGGAGTGTTCTCAAGGCGAGAGTTGACTGTGTTGTAAAAATTGAGCACTCTCACAGTGTAAACTAATTCCGATTTTGGTATTTTTTTGTTTTTCTTTGCAGTGCAATGGGTTGGAGTTGGGCAATCCAGGGATGCCATGATCACTTTGTTTTAGTAAAATTTGCCCTCATTGAAAGAGAGTCAGCACCACAATATAGACGTTGTCGCGCAGCATTGTTTTCATATCGCTATATTCTCTGAAAGTAATCAAGAATGAACTTTGTTTTTTGGGAACAAGACAAATAACTTATTTCAATAGGGTGCTGTTTAAAAACATTGCCAGTAAAACTAAATCTTGTAGTTTTCATCACGTCCCTGCTGCTGAGTAACGATATTTCTTAAGTACATTTAGCTGATGTCACAATAGACTGCTATCGATATATTTAAAGCCTAGAGACACAAACAAGAGAAATAAATAAAATTGCTCATTCAATTTCTATTGTTTGTATCCTTTAGGTCTTGCTGACTAGCTGTATATACCAATATATCGCAAACAGTCTATTTTCGCAACATGTTTTCTAGGCAAGAATGAGAAATCTAGGTACCTTGATGAAGTTTTGCCAAAGAAGATTCTCATCTTTCTAAGAGTATTCTGATCCCATTTGTAGAAATTTTTTAGTAAAGGTGGTAATATTTTTCAGAGCTTGGAAAATGGCTAATAATGATCTTGTGAGAAATACACATGGCTGGGTTGTTCAATGTTGTTGGTAATGTAGTATTTTAACGACAACAAAAAAATGCGTGTAATTGAGTAAACAATAAGTATTCTAAAGAAGAGGTTTATTGCACCAATAGACAAGTAGAGGCTTATTTATTGACTGAAGATGATCTTTAAAGGTAAATCAACAGGCCTTTCTGGTTAAGGGCTTGTTTCCTTTAAATTAGACCCAGTGGTTAATTTACATTTATCATTTTCCATGATATTGTCTTATGTCATTTACCCTTACAAAAGCAGCTTGGTTTTCTGTTGGCAGACAAAAAATAAATAGCTACTTTTACCTGACACATGTCTCAAGTTTAGCATTTCAGTGGTAAAGCTGAGCGTTGCTGTTGTATCCAGTCAGTTAAATGTCTCCTGGTTACACTAAGTTATCACGTTTAGTCAAACCAAGGTACAGATACTAAGAGTAGTATTAGTATATTATTATTAAAGTAACCTTTCGTTTTTAGGAGGCCTTATCATTTTCAAGCCAACCGAGTTTCTTTTTAAGTCCTCTCTGTGTAATTCTAACTTATTCATACATTTTCATATTGAGCTTAAAGTGTGCAAAAAGTGACATGAAATATGAATTATTTAAGAGTGTAATTTTTTTGGAAAATACTTGTCAACTTATGGTCGGCTGGTGGGATCTTTTAAGTCAGTAAGCCACAAGACATATGGTTCTAGAATTTTAATTCAGTGTGAACAGGCTAAGTACATAAGGTCTTTTTTTCTTGCTTAAGATGTGAATTTTTGATTAAACTTATTTCAACACTTGTTTAGTGCAATGTACTTCTTCTTAGCATGAAGGTGCAGCTGAACTTCTGTACTACGGCCGCATTGCCAGGGCAGAATTAACTGACCGGTCATTTTTACCAGGGCAGAGCTGCTGGGGCACTATTTACTGCTGCCAGCAGAGGTCAACCAAGCGTAATATAAGAGTTTTTATGGAGATCAGGAGTCGTTCAATGTATGGTTAATTTACCGAATAAAGACAGTTGAACGTTCAATGATGTCACTTTTTCTGATCCTGGAGAGTTAAAACGAGATTTGAGCGAATTTTGATATAATTATCCTACAGTAGAATAAATATATCAAAATTCGGTGAAATCTCGTTTCAACTCTCCAGGATGAGAAAAAATGACATCATTGAATATCCAAGAGTCTTTATTCGGTAAATTAACCATACATTGAACGACTCCTGATCTCCATACAAACTCTTATATTACGCTTGGGTGACCTGTGCTGGCAGGGCGGAACAGTAGTTTGGCCGTAGAAGAGATGTGGCCCTTGAAGGAAGGTTTCAGTAGCATGTAAGAGAGGCGTGTGTACGGGAAGGGATTTCCTGGCTGGCTAGTGGGAGGTGGCTGTCATATAGGTGTCTTTTAGTAGAGGATCGACTGGTTCAGTTGTAACTTTTCTAACTTAGTAAACGAAAATTTGGTGCGGAAAGATAAACAGGGCGCATTTTGTGAGCATTCTTCGTATTACGCACTGGACTCGTTATTTACTTTTTCTATTCAATTAAGTATCTAAGTGAAAGTCGCATTCACAGTCGTGCTGCCTTTATGTAAGACGAGTGTACGTACCTGAACCTGATGACAATTAGAAACCCGCTTGCAGATGAGATGTCTATATGGTACATTGTAGATACCCTCCCCTTCCCCTTTCTTATCCCAACCCATCTCGCCCAAGCGTTTTGTCAGGTGTGTTAGCGCTGTTTTCTCGTCAGGTTGTTCGAGAGCAACGCTCGTTAAGGTCTGAAGGTGTCGATCCTGCATCAGATTCTTTTTTTTTTTTTTCAGGAACCTGTGAGAGCTATGTGCCTTGCCAAAAACAACGTCCACTGAAGGCTGAGGCTGGAGGCCAGAGTATCCAATGTGCCTTCGATAAAAGTTGAGTGATTTCCGAGCGTCTAATGTTTTGTAGAGAAACAATAGAATCTTATCTCGGTTATCACTGATTTGCATGACAACAAATTTATCCAGAATCAGATTGATAGTTCAGTGTATAGTTACGTTGACTTCTCTGAGCTTGGGGTAGTTTGCAGTTACAATTTTGGACAGAATGAAGTAAGAAATATAACCACCCCTCTCCCCAAATCAACATAACGATGAACTGGCGCTAAACCCAGAACGCGCCATTTTTTTCATCATTGACTAGGGGATAGGGGTGGTCCTAATTTTTAATTTAAATTGTCCAAGATTGTAGGTTGCTGATTAAATGAATGATCAGACTCCTGAGTACTTGAAATGCCTTGTTAAACCCTTCAGCACGGACTATAGACTTGAAATATATTAAACAAATTAGCTCTTTTAAGACGTAGTTTCCGCTAGACTGGGGGGGGGGGGGGGG